GACAAGAGCATTTTCACACGAGCTTCACTTAGCTCAACCCCCTATTCCATTCTGTGAACTACATAAATTATGTGGACTTTGAAAACTTGTGTATTTGTTTGTTTTTGTATGATCTGTTCTGCATGTTTCTAATTTTGTAGAATTATTTGGGCTTGGTTAGTCATGAGAGGGGCAGGGCCACTGAAGCCCTACCAGTTCCTACCAGGGGAGAGGCGATCCTTGATTTGGTCCTAAGTAACACTCAAGACCTGGTGAGAGATGTAAAAGTGATTGCACCGCTTGGGAACAGTGATCATAATGTTGTTGATTTCAACATTTGTATAAATAGGGAATTGGCCAAAAAGACTCACACAACCATTTTTAACTTTAAAAGGGGTAATTTCTCTGATATGAGGGGACATGTGGGGAGGAAACTGAAAGGAAAAGTAGAAAGGGTCGAAACCATTGGGGAAGCTTGGAAACTACAGTGGAAAGCTAGTCACAGTGAGGCTGATAAAACGGAACACAGGCTATGGCAAATAAAATGCAAGTCTGAGGTCAGGCAGGCAAAAAGGGAATATGAGGAGCATATAGCAAAAAACGTAAAAACCAACAATAAAACTTTCTTCAAATACATTAGAAACAGGAAACCAGCCAGGGAGGCAGTGGGGCCCTTGGACGACCAAGGGGTAAAAGGAGTATTGAAGGATGATAGGGAAATGGCTGAGAAGCTAAATGCATTTTTTGCCTCCGTCTTCACTGTGGAAGATGAGAAGTGCTTGCCCACTCCAGAACCACTGATTTCAGGAGGGGTGTTGGAAGACCTGAGTCAGATTGAGGTGACGAGAGAGGAGGTCCTAAAACTGATAGACAACTTAAAAACTGATAAATCACCAGGCCCAGATGGCATACATCCGAGAGTTCTGAAAGAACTCAAATGTGAACTTGTAGATCTCCTGACAAAGATATGTAATCTTTCCTTAAAATCTGCCTCCATTCCTGAGGATTGGAAGGTAGCTAATGTCACTCCCATCTTTAAAAAGGGTTCCAGAGGAGATCCGGGAAATTACAGGCCTGTCAGTCTGACGTCGATACCGGGTAAATTGGTGGAAACCATTATTAAGGAAAGAATTAGTAGGCACATAGATGAACAAAACCTATTGAGGCAGACTCAGCACGGTTTCTGTAAGGGAAGATCTTGTCTCACTAACCTGTTAGTGTTCTTTGAGGGGGTGAACAAACATGTGGACAAGGGGGATCCAATAGATATTATTTACCTTGACTTCCAGAAAGCTTTTGATAAAGTTCCTCATCAAAGGCTCCTAAGTAAGCTCAAAAATCATGGGATAGAAGGACAAGTCCTTTTATGGATCAAAAACTGGCTAGTTCATAGAAAACAGAGAGTGAGTGTAGGTGGGCAATTTTCTCAGTGGAGGGTGGTAAGCAGTGGGGTACCGCAGGGATCAGTACTTGGTCCACTGCTTTTTAACTTGTTCATTAATGATTTGGAGATGGGAGTAAGCAGTGAAGTGGCTAAATTTGCGGATGATACGAAGTTGTTCAGGGTGGTGAAAACCAGTGAGGATTGTGAGGCACTCCAAAGGGATCTGTCAAAGTTGGGCGAGTGGGCGTCAACATGGCAAATGGGGTTCAATGTGGCCAAGTGCAAGGTGATGCACATTGGAGCCAAAAATCCTAAATATAAATACACGTTGATGGGGTCTGAACTGGCAGAGACTGATCAAGAGAGAGATCTTGGAGTTGTAGTGGATAACTCACTGAAAATGTCGAGACAGTGTGTGACTGCAATAAAGAAGGCCAATGCTATGCTGGGGATTATTAGGAAGGGTATTGTAAACAGATCAGCCAATATCATAATGCCCCTATATAAATCAATGGTGCGACCTCATTTGGAATACTGTGTGCAGTTCTGGTCACCACACCTTAAAAAGGATATTATAGCTTTGGAAAAAGTGCAGAAAAGGGCAACTCGAATGATAAAAGGGTTGGAACACTTTCCCTATGAGGAAAGGTTAAAGCGCTTAGGGCTCTTTAGCTTGGAGAAAAGACGACTGAGGGGTGACATGATCGAGGTTTATAAGATTATGCATGGGAAAGAGCAGGTAAAGAAAGAGGTACTTTTCTCCCTTTCTCACAATACAAGAACCCGTGGGCACTCCATGAAATTGCTGAGCGGTCGGGTTAGAACGGATAAAAGGAAGTACTTATTCACCCAAAGAGTGATTAACACATGGAATTCACTGCCACAGGAAGTGGTGGCGGCTACAAGCATGGACGGCTTCAAAAGGGAATTAGATAAGCATATGGAGCAGAGGTCCATCAGTGGCTATTAGCCACAAGGTATAGATAGGGGCTCTGGGGCAAGTGATGCTCTGTCTTCTTGGTGCTTGGGGGGGGGTCAACAGTGGGAGGGCTTTTAATGTTCTGGCCCCACTGGTGGACCTCCTGATGGCACTGTTATTTCTGGCCACTGTGTGATACAGAGTGTTGGACTGGATGGGCCTTTGGCCTGATCCAACATTGGGGTCTCTTATGTTCTCAATAAATAGAAATTTTATTCAGCTTCTTCTATGGCTTTGGAGATTGCAGCAAGTGCTGAACTATTTCAAGCATTTCTCTGTAGCTCTAAGGATTAGAAACATACTCTTTTAAAAAAGCTGAAAGAGATTTTCAGAAAACTGAATTATGGGTCCACTACCATTTTATCTGCATTCCTACTTGCAGGTTACACACAACCTGAGGGATTATTTAAACCAATTCATAATGTGCACATAAAAACTGTAAAGTACATTTACTGCATGTACATTTTGTGTACGTTTGAGATCTGCCCCGTATTTTGTTCCACATTAATACTATTTACACAGACCCAAGCAGTTTGAAAGAAGCTCAAAGGTGTATTTTTTCCATGTCACTTTTTGAACCAGGCCCATAGTATGTTTCACAAAAAGCCACTGAGTGTCACTGGGGCCATGGCTCAGTGGCTGAGCATCTACAGTACATGCAAAAGGTCTCTGGTCAATCCTTGGCATCTCCAGTTGTTGTTGTTCAGTTGCACAGTCGAGTCCAACTCTTCGTGACCCCATGGACCACATCATTCCAGGCCCTCCTGCCTTCCGTCGTGCTCCAGAGTTTGCTTAATTTCATGTTTGTTGCCTCGATAACACTGCCTAACCATCTCATCCTTTGCTGTCTCCTTCTTCCTTGACTTTCAATCTTTCCCAGCATCAGGGTCTTCTCCAGTGAGTGCTCCCTTCTCATTTGGTGGCCAAAGTATTTGAGCTTCAGCTTCAGTATGTGGCCTTCCAGGGAACAGTCAGGGTTGATTTCTTTTAGGACTGATTTGATCTCCTTGGCATCTCCAATAGGGGATGTGAAATACCTTTGCCTGGGCTCTGGAGAGCTGCTGCCAGTCCGAGCGGACAATGCTGACCGTGATACATCATTAGACACTAAGGCAGCTTTATGTATTCATATAACATATATCACATACATACAGCTGAGGTTGCCAACTCTGGGTTGGGAGAGTCCTGGAGATCTGGGGGTGGTGCCTGGGGAGGGTGGAGTTTGGGGAAGGGGACCTCTGTGGGGTATAATGTTATAGACATGCCCTCCAAACCAGCCATTTTCTTTTAGGGAACTACATTCTCTGCAGTTGCTGTGTGACTGAAGTGAAAGAGCCAGTTTGGTGTAGTGGTTAGAGGCACTGACTCTAATCTGGGAGAACTGGGTTTGATTCCCCATTCCTCCACATGCAGCTGCTGGTGTGACCGTCGGTCAGTCACAAGTTCGTTCAGAGCTGTTCTCTCAAGGGCAGTTCTCGAAAAAGCTCTCCGCCCCACCTACCTCACAGGGTGTCCGTAGTGGGGAAGGGAAGGGCAAAGAGACTGTAAACTGCTCTGAGACTCGTTCGAGTAGAAGAAGAGGAGATTGGATTTATACCCCACCCTTCACTCGGAGTCTCAGAGCCGCTTACAAACTCCTTTCCCTTCCCCTCCCTTCCCTACAACAAATACCCTGTGAGGTAGGTGGGGCTGAGAGAGCTCTCACAGAAAAGGTAGGATACAAACCCAATCTCTTCTTCTTCTCTGTAGTCAGAGGATCCATCATACATTCCACTCCAGTGATATGACTTTCCCAGGAATAAGTGGGTGGAATTATGGGCAAAGATGTCTACATGTTGGGATAGATCCAAGTGGGCAGCCATGTTGTTCTGAAGCAGTAGAACAAAATTAAGAGTTCAGTGGCACCTTTAAGACCAACAAAGTCTTATTGAAGGTATCAGCTTTTGAGTGCACAGTATCTGAGGAGGTGTCCTGCACACCAAAGCTCATACCTCGAATAAAACTTTGTTGGTCTGAAAGGTGCCACTGGACTCAAACTTTGTTCTACACGTTGGGATGCCCCAACTGAGACTGGGGCAGAAGTCCCACGGTCACTTAAGCCCTATGGACCTGTGAGCTGATTTAGCATCAAGCAGACCTTTAACCGGGCATATGGTCGGACCGCACGTCTCAGTCCCGACTCCCGTGTCCGCTTGCGTGTAACGTGCGAAGCATGCCACGAAGTGCCTTGGCGTGACAGGCCAGGGCAAGGCTGCCTGTCTGGGCGTGAACGTCCAGCGTTTCATTTCGTGCTGCTGCTGCTGTTGTTGTTGCTGCTGCAGCGCGTGAAGGACTTGAGGCGAGGGAGATTGGCCTAAGGCCCGTGATTGACACGGAGCCGCCGGGCGAGGCGGGTTTCGGGAGGGAGGGGGAGGAGGAGGAGGAGGAGGGCGGGCCAGAGAAGGAACTCCCGGTAAGAGTGAAGAAAGTCCTGCCCAGCTGTTTGCGAACTTTTAAGATTTCCTGTTTCCCCCGCAGGCAGGGCTGAAGCGGAGGGGAGTGTGAGTCACACGCACTCCCAGCAGCAGCAGCCGCCGCCGAGCTGCAGCCTCCGCCGGGGCCTCTCCCGGCCCTTCCTCGTAGCCCCCCCCCCAAGAGCTTTGCCGCCCCCCTCAGAAGAGCCCGGCCTCCCCACCCCTCCCGCCTTAGCGGCAAAACGGATTTACCATGAGCTGGCTTCCCAAGCACGTTTGGTTGTGGGCGCTCCTCAACAGCACCGCTCACCCGCTGATCCGGGTTACAGGTAAGCCCCCCCCCCTCCTCCCCGCTCCATTTTATCTCGGGCTCGGCCGGCGTTGCTCTGAAAGGGCGCTCTCCCACTCGGCCCGCCCTGGGAACGGCGCGGCACCGAGACCCGAGGGAGAAAACTTGGGAGATTGCAAATGTGTCCCGTCCCCATCCGCGGGAGAGGGCGGGGGCAGCCTAGTCCCAACTCCGGAGAGTGGATGCCTTTGGGGGAAGAGGCACAACTGCTCCACATGCTGGGCTGACTTTGCGGCAGAAGTTTCACTCCTCCTGGCCTTGGGTTATCTGGCCGAGAGCAGCCAGCAGCTGCCTGCTACTCTTTGCAGCTGGTGCCGCCGCCACACCTGGCCTAGGGCGAGGTGCTGGGGTGGGGAATGGTGGGTTGCGCCTGGCATCGCGGGCCTTGGCATTTTGGGCGCTTCTCGGCCGTGGGATAAGGAACTATGTCATGTGCTGCCGGCGCCTAAGTCTAAATTCCCCTAAGAAAAAGAGATCCTGAGATTTCAGAACGTCACAGTTCCCTTAATTCTGCAAAAGTAACTTGAGCGGCAGCACCGAAGATAAGAACTTTTCCTTTAAGCAGTGCTGGTTATTTAAGCAGTGCTGGTTAAAGGGGTTTTATGGCGTTTGTTAGCACCTGCAAACTGAATCTTACATGGAGCTGCATTTGCAATGTTTCCCTCTCTTTTTGTACTTGGAAGCATGTTAAGCTCACAAACACGGGGATGGTAGTGTCAGCACATGGTGTGAAGTTTACTTTAAAAACTGATGACAAAGACCATATAATACCTTTTATTTAGACCAGCTTTTACAATGCAACAGAACATGTGGATTGGTCTTAATCAAAGGTGTTACGAGACTTGTGTATTTTGGATTTTGCTGTGGACCAACTCGGCCACCTACTTCTTAAGAAAGCTCATGTTAAGCGTGCTGTGATGTTGAAATCAGTGGACACCTTTCATGCTCATGTTTATAATTTGTGACTCTGTGTATGTTCCGTGTTTGCTTTCTGTCTTGTTCATGTGTGGGTTTCTGCATTCCTTTAGTAACCATCAATGCAGGCTGCTTCAAATGGAGAATTGATGGGCTAAGCCTTTTTACTGCCTACAGATGTGCAGCTTGTGAGTGCTGTGAACAAATGAGAAAATTTCAGTATTTAAACTTTCTTAAAATCAATTCATAGTTTGACAATTGTCACTGCATGGGAGGGGGCAGTGTGGGATAGTTTTCTACCTGTTGTGTATCCCAGGATGTGTTGTATTATGTTAACTGCAGATTGATTTATTTAGGTAGTACAAAGATTTTGCTATGAGATTAGAATCAGTTTGAAAAACAGACTGCTGGAATATAGAGTTTTAGCCTAAAATGATAGTAGCAGCAGCCCATAAGTCTCTTGATCCCTTAAATGGTACTATACTATCCTTTCTCCTTTATCCCTGGAATTTTATCTCTTAATATTCACTTCATACCAGCTCTTTCTCCCTTAGATCCCTCTTCAAAATGTACTTCAAACCCAAGAAGGTGTGACTGAATTTCAGAATATTCATGCCTCATTCCTCTTATCCATTAGCTTTCTTCCACTGTAGACATTTAGATTGTAAGCTCTGTTGGGCAGGGACCTTTTGTCTCAGTTTATGTTTGTGTCGAATGTGTGGATGAATCTGTAGTACTAATACCAGTGCCTAAATGCATATTTTGTAGAGTTACTTGCCTTTACTGTTATGAATACGACCAATTCCAAACACATATAAAAACAATACTTTTGTATTATTTGTTGACTCTCTGTAAAGAAATTAAAAAGAAAACTGCTGAAAAAGATAATTATATATTAAAGATATCTACTTTAAAATACTAATAGCATATACTGATATTAACCATTAATTAAGTTTGCAATTAAATGTGAACGTTCTTAAATTATGGCTTTAAAAATGATCTTTTAAGTGTTTGGCTTGGATCATAGTCACACATCCTTTTTATCATTTACAATCTTAATCCTGCAAATATTTGCGAATCTGGGTAAAAATGCAAAATGTTGTGGACCGTGTATATGGTTAGAGCTTAAGTCTGTTCACATTCTGTTCATATGATGATGAAATATTTATACCCTGTAGTGTAAAATGTGGTATAAACTTAATGCAATAAATTGGCTGTGTTGTCAGTGGCCAAAAGCAATTGGCAAGAACAGCCAATAGAGGTATCCAGAAAGCCACATACCTTCTTTTTGTCCTGTACATTGTAGCTTTCTTCCCCCCACAAACACACACCTCTTTTCCACTGTTACCCCTTGTGCTTGCTGAAAGTTGTTTCTGAAGATTGGAAGATCCCCCAGTGGGAATCAACATGGTAACAAAGTGCTGTAGTTGGAAATCAAAATGGGTAACTTCCACTTGCAGGCAGCAGAATCTTCTCCTTTCAGCATGCTATTGTTTGTGTACTGGCCAGTGCTTTGGGGCACTAGCATAATAATCATTAAATGAAATGTGGTGACCTTTTAATAGTATGCTCAACTTTCTCTGGTTTTTATTTACTCTTGACATCTATTAGACCTAATGGGTTACATATAATAGGTTTCAGTTCACTTCACTCTCCTTTCCACTGCTTCTCTCCCCCCTCCCCACATCCCAATGCACTGAATTAAGAGATGGGCAGAAAAAACTTAGGAAGCACTAAATTATTTTAGGAAGTTATGAGTACATACACCTTAACACAGAGGTGTCAAACTCATTTGTTACGAGGGCTGGATCTGACATAAATGTGACTTTGTTGGGCTGGGCCTTGTGTGCTATAAAACATAATGCCAGGTACTGGAGATATAAACCTTATAAAGGACAGCAGCTGTCAAGCTCTAAGTTGGTAGTCCTCACTGCAAGTCCCCATGGGCGGGTGTGTGTTTGTGTACTGAGGAAAACCTGCATGGGCGGACTGGAGAGGCAGCGGTGCAGTGCTGGGCAGATGCCCCTATGCTGCCTGGAGGGAATACAAATCTCTTCCCCAGCCTGCTTCCACTGCCAACGCTCTGAGCCTGGGCCCCGGGGTAAAAACATAAAGCGACTGGGTATTGCGAGCTCTCCCCTGCCCCTGAGCCACCATGGAAGGGGACTGGGAAGACAAGTTGAACTAACCCCCCTGCCTGCAGAATTGGGGATGGGGCAGCCAATGTCCAAGGCCATGTGTACAGTGGGACCCAGGCCAAGCAAAGCCTGATAATCGGAGATGCCTGTTTGGCAGTGGCTGCCTCCCGCCAAAACCACCAGGCAATCCATGGCAGGCTGATGCTAGGGGTTCGAGCCAAAGATTGTCAGCAAGCCATGCTACCCCAGGCTGAAGGCTACTGGATCATCTAATGGGAGAGTGGCATGGTGTGCACAAGGCCGCACATGTGGCAGGGGCCTCAGGCTGCCCACAGACCAGTATAACCTGAGATCACTAGCACCACCACCACCCCACAAAGCAGCAGCCACCTGTGGCTGAAGGCTGCCATATGGTCCATGGGGGAGGGAGGCCTGGCTGCCAAATCACATGCTTGGTGGCAAGACTAGGCCCCCAATGTGTGGAAGAAACTGTTGAAGAACAACACCCCCCCCATGGGCCAGAGCACAGCTGCCTCATGGGGTGTGTGAATATGGTGGCAGTGCTGGCTGCCAGCAGGCCCCAGCAGAGAATCATCTGCACACACACCCCCATGTGCAAATGCTGATCCCTGTGGCCATTCGTGACAGCCATCCCCGGAGCAGTAAACTGAGTGGAGAGGCATGCGACCTCTCCTTGGAACCCTGAGCCAGCATGAATGGGGCTGCGTTGTCTCCCAGCTTACCAGTGAGGTTGCCATGGAAGCTAAGGGCTTCTGCTTGACTGCCGAAGATGAGGTTGTTCCACCAAACTGAAGCCACAACTGGAGTGGCCCCACCCACTCTCCCTGCTCCCGAGCAGCCTCCTGTTCCCTCCCTTGCACCAGTTGCTTGTGGGCTGGATAAGAGCCCCAGACGAGCTGGTCCCAGTCCCTGTGTCTTGTGTTTGACACTCCTGCCTTAACAACCGCATTGCAAAAATGGTTGGAAACCGCTTGTTATAATGACAGTAGGATTTCATTAGTTTTTGAGATGGACACTTAAGTACAAGCATGTAGCCAGAAGACTGACCGTTAATCTTTATTTTTTTTAATATGTTTTTATTTGTTTTTAAATCTTCCTTAACAACAATGAACATCAAAAGTATTAAACAAGCAACAACAAGAGATAAGGATCAAGTCGCATCAAAATCTTATTATGTAGCAGTAAAAACTGTTTTAACATTTTTTGATCATTTCTCAACCAATTGGAAAGGGTAAGAAGTGCTGGCAATTATGCTACCTCTGTCAGTGAGGCCAGTGTGAGTACTGGATTAGGTCTGGATCTTAGATGTAAAATATTTTTATATGTAACTCAGTGTGTACAGTAGAAAGTTAGAGGAAAAGCAAAGAAGAATAAGTAGTGTTAGTGGGAAGAAGTTCTGCTTCTGTCATGTACTGCAGCCATGTACTGTATTTATGATCAGACACTCTGTGTTGCCCTGACCTGGATGGCCCAGGCCAGCTCAGTCTCATCAGGCCTCGGAAGCTAAGCAGGGTCAGCCCTGGTTAGTGTTTGGATAGAAGTCCAGGGTTGCTACAGAGAGTCAGGGAATGGCAAACCATTTTTTTAGCATCTCGTGCCTTGCAAACCCTGTAGGGTTGCCATCAATTGGGCTGCGACCTGATGGCATTTTCCACCACTACCACCATTCTGTGTTATGAGTGATGATCTGTAGACAAATGGCTTTTACTTGGAATATTAAATGGACTGTTTCCGAGGATAGTAAATATAGTAATTAAATCAGGGCTATTTTTGGGCAGGAACACGCAGGAATGGAGTTCCGGCTGGATTCAGAGTTGGCGACGCCCACTACAGCCAAAACATCTGCGTGCCTGGCTACAGAGGGAAGACTTGGAGAGCGACCCCCCCTGGCGACTCCGAGGCGGGC